ATTAAAGTTATTTGTGCATATTTCCAGTTTACTTCTTTTACATTTTCTTTCATGATATATATTACCTGACTCAACTACTGCCAGTCCACATTGAACAAAAACATATTTCAGTAAAAGTTTGGGTTTTTGGGACAGTGGAAGGTTTACCACTGTAACAGAGACCTATTTGGTCTCTGAAACACTTATGCTAAGTATTAAAATAAGGGAGCTTTAATGAATGTATACCACCACCAGATTCCAGATTTGGGTTTAAAATCATTAACTGTCGTCTTTTTCTTACTTGACACAAGAAGTCACAAGAGATGATTTGTCAAAAAATAAATTGAGAAACAATCAATATTTGAAGCAAAAATTAAACAGGCTAAAAAATGTAAAACCCAACAAAGACAACACTGGGATCCAACTGTATGTGATGTATAATTCTAAAATGGTATAAAAATTAAATGTTATTGCATACATGGACAAAAACAAATTTAGAAACTACCAGAGATTTGTTAGGACTATTTGCATGTCAAAAAAAATGGTACTATACCTTGATGCACCTTTAAGGTTTAACTGGTATACAAGACAATCACTTTATGACTCCTTACAGGTGAATAAACAACAACGTGAATTATAGTGAGAGGAAGTGGGAAACATGGCATCATTCAAAGTCACTGGCTCATAATGAAGTGCAGAAATTTCATACCAATGACATAATGGCATTACAGTATCACAAGAGAAGTAATACCCTGCCAGGTTGGAAATGAAAAACTGGGAAAGTGGATTAAACCAATAAGTTTCACTGGCAAATCATGAAAACTGCATCTGAGGATTATATCAAAGTTTCAAGGGGTAAAGTGACAAAATGACATTGCTTTTGCTAATTCAAGTAATTTCAAGCTACTTCCAGTACAGAAACCAACCAAAATCATCTGTATGTCTTCCACTGTATCAAACAATACCAAGAAAGCTAATAAAACCATAAAAAACCCCCCTAGAACACACCCCAAAGTCACTCTCTTAAACCAAATACTAGATCAGAGATTTGCATTTTAATCATGCCCTTGTGGAAGCAGGATTTTTTATATATACTGTGTTTCACTTACTGTATAGATCCATTTTCTAAAACCTGGCAAAATTTATGTCTGGCTTATCTGAGGGAGCTTAATAAAAACTTTTGGGAACTATGAAAAGGGCCCCTAGAAATCAAAAACATATCTAAAAGACTGGCTCCAACTTACAAGTACACAAAGGGGTTTTTTTTAAAAATAATGTACTGATATGAAAACTTCATACTTTCAAATCACCCACCTCCCAATATTTTTGACCTCATCCCCAATTCCCAAAGGGTCTTCTTTTTCACTGTTATTTATATGAAAAAATCTATGACAGCAGGGTCCCCCACAATGCACTATTATTAAACACAAAGGTGTTGATTGTCTGATTTTATTGTACCCCTAAAAAAGCAGAAAATTAACAATGAAATCAGGAGCTATTTTTCTCCCAAACCAGTTTTCCCTATCGGGAAAAAACAGTGTGTCCCAAGAGGCTTGAAGATAACTTACGTCATTTCAGTTTTATTAAAATTTCATGATTAATTTAACAGGGGGAAATTCACACAAAAGGGTATATTTGAACCGGGGATCCGCAGAAAAAGCACAAAATATGGCGGGACATTTCCATGTTTTGAGGAGTAATATATGTGAAAAAATTTTGTAATAAAAAATATTTTAAAAAATTTTTTTATTAACACAGAGGCCATTTTCCCACCAAGGGGGGGGTTGCCTGAAAAAGAAACACTTTCACCATCTTTCACTCTGCCCCCACTTGCCAGAGGTGCCCCAATAGGGACAGTTAGTTGTCCCCCCCAAACAGCAAATACCCAAAACCCCTTCCCTAAAGTGCAGGAAAATTTTAACCCCCGACCTAAAGGGGAATCTAGGCTATTTAAAAAAACCAGTTTCCCTAAATCCTTTCTTAAAATATTACCTTGCTCTCACCCCAACAACTCGTCAGGTTCTAAAAACCACTTGTTTCCACTCACTCCTATCTAATGGTTATATTGTATATTCGAAGCAGAGTAATGTCTGCTATGCATTTTCCATGTTTGAAATGCTAAAACATATTAAAACATGTATAATAAAAGAAAATAGTGTACATAGTGTTAAGCATTAAAAGCAATTGGAAAACTCAAAACAATCATATCTTGACATCAATATTACAAGAGCATTTATGCCACTGCTGCCAATGTTTTTTTTTTTTTTTTTTTTTTTTTTTTTTTTTTTTTTTTTTTTTTTTTTTTGCCAACTTCAACACCATGAAATCTTAAGTTTTATCAGATTTCACTCATTTTAGTATTAACTGATTCAGAAAAATGTACTCTTTCATTATGTAGGAAACAGATTTTTTTTTTTTTTCAAAATCTTCCCCCACACAGGAATTTTTTATTTGCAGGTATGCCACAACTTATGGGCTTAAAGGGTTTAACATGCTTCCACAGGCATGGGTTCCATACTGCTGTTATGCATTCAAAAGGCACCTGAATGTTTGAATCCATGCATGCACCATACTTGCCCATCCACCTCACACACGTACACACATGTACACACACAGCTTGTTAAATTAAGTGGCACATAAAAACGCACATGTACAGGCAATTTCTCGAATCTATGCACCAGATCTGCATCACTCAAAGAATTACACCTACCATCCGACTTACGACCGAGTTCGGTTCCGAGAAACCGGTCGTAAGTCAAAATGGTCGTAAGTCGAACTTTACTACTGAATATCAACAAAACATTTTTGAAATGACTATTTTATTGTTTTATTTTGGTATTTCATGTTTTACTTTACTTTTTATGCTGTTAGTACTGTATTTTATACTGTAAGGTGTAGGATTAAACACTGTGTTACAACACAAACAGTTGTTTATTTCCCAGAAATTTGGCATAAAAAACACGGTCATAAGTCGAGTGGTCGTAAGTCGAGCAGGTCGTAAGTCGGATGGTAGGTGTATATAATTTTGGAGTTATTGTGCATTAGTATTCCAGTGATAGCACTGACCCACACATTACATTTTGATTAGAGTAAAGTTAACATAAGGGGCTTTAAAATGAATAGAAATAGGTAGAGGGCTTAAAAATTATTAGAAACACGTCTTATTGCTCCTGTTATATCAAAACCCCCGTGACATATCTGTGACTGCATTCTAGGACTATCTTACCCTCGGCCCACCCTCTATTCTGGCAATGTTTATTGGTGAGAGTTTTAATACTCAAGACTAGTTCCATGCTTATAGTATATAATGTATTCAAAATAGTCTCGTAATATTTTACTTTCACTTAGCTATTTGCATAAAAGATTTTAAACATCACGGTAAATATAAACCGAGAAGTAAATAAATAAATATATATATTAATATTTATGAATGATATTAACCTTTCACCTTTCTGTATGCCATAAATACAAACTTATAATACTAATTACTTGTACCTATAGCAGTTAGGATCATAAAAACCCCTTAGCATATCTGAAGCCGATCACAACCAACACCACCTTATACTATGAACCCAGTTTATCACCACCAACACCCCACTACCTATTTCCTTCTTACCTATCTCCACTGCCATAAATGGACTGTATCTGTCAAATCACTAACATCCTGGTCCTCTTAGAAAACTTCATAAGAGCCACTTGCCTGTAATGGTGAGATATGCCAAGTCATACCTCTGATACCTTTAACCAGTTTCAAAGATTCTTCCATATATTCTACTATGGCAAACAAAAACAAAATGCCCACCACAGGGCCGGTTAAGTCCCCACTATGCATATTTTAAGGGATAAATTACCTTCCTTAGTTATACTTCTCTAAGGTAAGTCTTAAATATATTGCTACACAAATCCAAGTCCAGCACACCCTCTCTTTCTAAAAGAATTTAATTACAACCCATCAATTTATATTAAAAGTGACTTGCACTACGTACAATGCTTATAATCTATAATATGATTATCTTTCAGGCATCCTGGCTGTGAGAATAATGTTTGGTAATGAAGATTCTAGAAAGACTGCACTCAACACACTGAACACAAACTAAAAACATAGTTTTTTTTTTCCTATAAAATAAAAAAAAAACTAACATTTACTTTCTAAGAGTATTTTACAATAGACGAGAAAGTAAACATTTAAAAAAGAGAAAAAGACCACGTAAGCGTCCTATTTATAACACTATCACCTATTGAGAATATACCCCAAGATTTTTTTCACTTAACATTCTTTAATGCATTACGATTAAAACAATATTCACCAAATTGCCGATGCATTTGGTTTCCTTCACAGCAGCGTGATACTTTTTGATTGCCATCATAAACCAGCCGTCAGGAAGAAAAACTGCTTCGAAGTAGGAGAGAAACTTTTCTTCCTCACATTCACTGGTGTATGATGGGGGATAAACTAACAAAAATCAGGTTGCTTAGTGGCCACTCCCCTTAAGTTTTTGCAACATGGTTAGGTAGGCTGGGAAATGTGTTGTAAAGCACACCCAGTACTCATAGTTCCCACATGCAAAGACTGTACCTCCATTCTATTTGCCAATGAAATTTATCCAAAAGGAGCCCTACACAGATATACTAGGAACAAGTAATAGACCAGCTTATGTGAGGAAGAAATAAGGTCTCGTACTCCAAATCATTTTTCTTCTTCCTTACCATTCTGTTTCCAAGCCGAATCTGCGCAAGATGTGCAAGTGGTAAGTCATCTGCTTTCTGCAAAGATTTAGATGCATTACACTTTTGTAACTCACTGATTATAGTTATGCTACAATACGAAGACAAACTTCTGTGTTAGGTACGTTACTTGGGATCTGCATTTTAAATAAAACCTACCTTGTTAAGGGTCAGTATTACATCCACAAAAGCTTAAAACAAAATCTTTTGACCATAAAAAACTTCCAGGGCAAAATATTACAATCTATGAACTTCGCATAATCCTTCACTTTCATTCTTTGGAAACCACCCCCCTCCCCTCCACAAAAGGTTTTTTTAATATATATATATATATATATATATATATATATATATATTATTATATATATATATATATATATATATATATATACATATATATTTACATATATATATACATATATATATACATATATATATACATATATATATAATCATATATATATACATATATATATACATACATATATATATACATATATATATACAATATATATACATATATATATATATATATACAATATATATACATATATATATACATATATATATACATATAATATACATATATATATACATATATATATACATATATATATACATATATATATACATATATATATACATATATATATACATATATATATACATATATATATACATATATATATACATATATATATACATTATATATATACATATATATATACATATATATATACATATATATATACATATATATATACATATATATATATATATATATATATATATATATATATATATATATATATATATATATATATATATATATATATATACATATATACATATATACACATATATACACATATATACACATATATAACATATATACATATATATACATATATATACATATATATACATTATACATATATATACATATACATATATATACATATATATACATATATATACATATATATACATATATATACATATATATACATATATACATATATATATATATATATATATATATTATATATATATATATATATATATATATATATATATATATATATATATATATATATATATATATATATATAAACGAAAGCCTGTAATTGTTTTACATGATGGTAGGATTGCTGGTGTCTTTTGTCTGTCTCATAAATATGCAAGATTACAGGTACGTTTTGCTACTTCTACTTACACTTAGGTCACACTACACATACATGTACATGTTTATTTATACACACTCATCTGAGTTTTCTTTGATTTTATCTTAATAGTTCTTGGTCTTATTACTTTTCCTTTTATATCCATGGGGAAGTGAAATAAGAATCTTTCCTCCGTAAGCCATGCGTGTTGTAAAAGTCAACTAAAATGCCGGGAACAATGGACTAGTAACCCCTTTTCCTGTAAAGATTACTAAAAAGAATAAGAAGAAAATTGTCAAAGTGGGAAGTCTGAATGTGCGTGGATGTTGTGCAATGAAAAGAAAGAGATGATTGTGGTGTTATGAATGAGAAGAAATGGATGTCCTGGCTTTAAGTGAAACAAAGCTGAAGGGGGTGGGAGTTTTCAATGGAGAGGAATAAATGGGATTAGGTCAGGGGTTTCAAATAGAGTTAGAGCTAAAGAAGGAGTAGAATAATGTTGAAGGATAAGCTATGGCAGGAAAAGAGGGGGCTACAAAAGCATAAATTCAAGGATTATGTGGAGTAAAATAAAGAATGGATGTGAAAAGTGGGTTATAGTAAGCGTATATGCACCCGGAGAAGAGAGAAGTGAAGAGGAGAGAGAGATTTTTCTGGGAAATGTTGAGTGAATGCGTGGGGAGTTTTGAATCAAGTGTGGAGTAATCGTGGTTGGGAATTTCAATGCTAAAGTGGGTTAAAAATGTTATGGAGGGAGTAGTGGTAAATTTGGGGTGCCAGGGGTAAATGTAAATGGAGAGCCTTTAATTGAGCTATGTGTAGAAAGAAATTTGGTAATAAGTAATACATATTTTTTGAAAAAGAGGATAAATAAATATACGAGGTATGATATAGCCACGTAATGAAAGTAGTTTGTTAGTTTTTGTATTGGTGGATAAAAGATTGATGGGTAGGCTCAGGATGTACATGTTTATAGAGGGGCAACTGATTATCAGATCATTATTTAGTTGTAGCTACAGTTAGAATAAGAGGTAGATGGGAAAAGAGGAAGGTGGCAACAACAAGTAAGAGGGAGGTGAAAGTGTATAAACTAAGGGAGGAGGAAGTTTGGGTGAGATATATAACGACTATTGGCAGAAAGGTGGGCTAGTGCAAAGATGAGTAGTGGGGGGTTGAAGAGGGTTGGAATAGTTTTAAAATGCAGTATTAGAATGTGGGGCAGAAGTTTGTGGTTATAGGAGGGTGGGGGCAGGAGGAAAGAGGAGTGATTGGTGGAATGATGAAGTAAAGGGTGTGACAAAAGAGAAAAAGGAAGCTTACGAGAGGTTTTTACAAAGTAGAAGTGTTACAAGAAGAGCAGAGTATATGGAGAGTAAAAGAAAGGTGGTAAGTTACTAAATGCTGTAAAGAGCTTTTATGAGGATAGTGAGGCTCAGGTTAGGGTGTGTAGAAGAGAGGGAGAATACTTCCCGGTAAAAGTAGGTCTTAGACAGGGATGTGTAATGTCACCATGGTTGTTTAATATATTTATAGATGGGGTTGTAAAAGAAGTAAATGCTAGGGTGTTCGGGAGAGGGGTGGGATTAAATTATGGGGAATCAAATTCAAAATGGGAATTGACACAGTTACTTTTTGCTGATGATACTGTGCTTATGGGAGATTCTAAAGAAAAATTGCAAAGGTTAGTGGAATGAGTTTGAGATGTGTGTAAGGTAGAAAGTGAAAGTGAACATAGAAAAGAGTAAGGTGATGAGGGTATCAAATGATTTAGATAAGAAAAATTGGATATCAAATTGGGCGGAGGAGTATGGAAGAAGTGAATGTTTTCAGATACTTGGAGTTGACGTGTCGGCGGATGGATTTATGAAGGATGAGGTTAATCATAGAATTGATGAGGGAAAAAAGGTGAGTGGTGCGTTGAGGTATATGTGGAGTCAAAAAACGTTATCTATGGAGGCAAAGAAGGGAATGTATGAAAGCATAGTAGTACCAACACTCTTATATGGATGTGAAGCTTGGGTGGTAAATGCAGCAGCGAGGAGACGGTTGGAGGCAGTGGAGATGTCCTGTCTAAGGGCAATGTGTGGTGTAAATATTATGCAGAAAATTCAGAGTGTCGAAATTAGGAGAAGGTGTGGAGTTAATAAAAGCATTAGTCAGAGGGCAGAAGAGGGATTGTTGAGGTGGTTTCGTCATTTAGAGACAATGGATCAAAGTAGAATGACATGGAAAGCATATAAATCTATAGGGGAAGGAAAGAGGGGTAGGGGTCGTCCTCGAAAGATGATGCAGTCTTGTGGCTCTCTCTGAGACAGAGAGCTAGACCGATAGACAGGGAGCTTGACAGACAGACAAATGTTTGTGTACCAGCAAAAACAAAGGGAGGGTGATGGTCATCTAATCTTTCCTTATCAGCTCCACCCTAGTTTACGCTCATCAAAGTCAGCTCTTATCAATGTTATCTCCCCTATCTTGTCAGTCATGGGGTGGACTTTTTTTTTTTCTTGCTTCAAGGGAACAATATTATTACATCATCATCATCATCATCATCATCATCATCATCATCCTCCTCCTCCTCCTCCTGCTCTTCTCCTCTTCCTCTCCTCCTTTTCCTCTTCCTCCTCTTCTCCTCCTCTTCCTCTCCCTCCTCTTCTCCTTCTCCTCTTCCTCTCCCTCCTCTTCTCCTTCTCCTCTTCCTCTCCCTCCTCTTCTCCTTCTCCTCTTCCTCTCCCTCCTCTTCTCCTTCTCCTCTTCCTCTCCCTTCTCTTCTCCTCCTCCATTGCTTTTGGTCTCAAACTCCTCCAAATCATGAAAATGATCTTCACTGACACTTCCATCTGTGTTAGAGCATCACTTGGGAAGAGAAGAGTCCCAGATTTGCTGGGGAATCACATATTTCTTACCACTAGACATGCTGAAAAAGGACAACTGAAATGGCATTCCCACAATGCACCACTGGCTCCCCGATTTATTTTTATATGGTGCACACTGACCATGGAGACCCATTCTCTCACATGTGGGCCTACCAGCTTTCTCCTGCTTGATTTGAAGCCGCTAGAATTTATGCGTATAAATACGTCAGAAACAGTGGTGAGTAAGACGTATATATACGGTGTAAACAATCAAAGGGTTAAGGACATTTGTGTTAAGTGGAGAGAGGTGCAAAGTTTTGTGGAGAAATACCACCCTGACCAAGCTGTAACAAGCCATATCTGCAAAATGTTCAGTGACAAAACCTTGTCCCATTTTAGGGAAATCTTAAAGAGACGTCAGAAACGGAGCACTCTGGACAGTTATTTTGTGTGACACGGGTGCATTGACAAGCTGGTCCTAGTAGCATTAAAAGGCAAAGAAGGGAAGTAACCCCAGACAGGGCTTTGCCACCTAAGTCCTTATAAGAACATAACATAAGAAAGAAGTAACACTGCACAGGCCTACTGACCCATGCGGAGAAGGTCCATGTCCCCCCCACGGATAAGACCAATGACCCCCCCCCCCAGATTAGCCCAATGACCAATCCAGTCTGATCATCTCCACTCAAGAATGGAGCACTGCACCAGACCCAACAGCACAAGGTAGTCAGGTCCAACTCGCACCCACCCATACCCACTCATGTATTTACCTAACCTATTTTTTAAAAGTACACAACGTTTTAGCCTGAATAACTGTACTCGGGAGTTTGTTCCACTCATCCACGACTCTATTACCAAGCCAGTGCTTTCCTATATCCTTCCTGAATCTGAATTTTCCCAACTTGAAGCCATTGCTGCGAGTCCTGTCTTGGCTGGAAATTTTCAGCACGCTATTTACATCCCCTTTATTTATTCCTGTTTTCCATTTATACACCTCAATCATATCCCCCCTAATTCTATGCCT